CACACACCCGCTCACCTACCTACTCAATTAATTAATTGTTAATTGCGGTTCTCGCAACTAACAATTGATCAATCGTTAATTGCTGATTCGCAATTGACAATTAATTAATTAATTGTCAATCTTTAATTGTCAGAACAATTAAATTTTGCCCAACACTGGGTACCATGAGTTTGGACTTAGAGCTAAGTCCAAACTAATGGTACCACGATTTCGTTTAATTAAAGTAAATGACTTTTTTATGGGGAACTGTGTACGTTTTTACAAGATTCCGGAGCATATATTAAGACTATTATTTCCTAAGGTTAAAACTACATTAAAAATATTTTGATTGAAAAGTCATTACAAAATTGAAGAGTATGTGTTATACATATAAAGATGTATGGAAAGACGACATGGCTCTATATTCCACACAAATTTGATTCAAAGTGTATTCCATAGCTTTTAAGTTTATTTGAAAAGAGCAGTCCCTAAAGTTTCTGGTTCGTTCTTCTCAGGGAAGTTAGCGTAGTGAACGAGCAGTAGTTTAAATGTGACGTTTTCAAGTGTAAATTTATTTTACCTATGGAATAAATTATTCTTTATATATTTTTCTGTTCTGCTAGGTTTAAAATGTATATTAATTGGGACTCTTTTAAAGTCGCGTTGCATAACACAAGCCGTCACAGGCGCCTTTCATAACAGAATCTACAGATTATGTCTAAACAGTCGCTATAAGTGTGTCGCGGCAACTTCGCGTGCCCAATGTAAGCGATAAACGCTTAGTTGCCGTTGCTACGCCTCATCCCTGCCGTTATCGTAGTTAAAAATCAGTCGAAATCGTTAAAAATGCCTAATAGTGCCATTACATCGAGTACATAACCAGAAATAGAGACGAAATGTCATTTAATTTGTTTGAAAACTATTCTGCCGTATCATTGCTGTGATAACTGCGCTCCGATTGGCCAGCCCGAATTAGAAACAATTGACGGGTGTCGACAATTGTTTCACTTCAAACCGACCAGTTAACTTGAGCTTTGGTATAATGGACGAAAATTGCAAAATTACATATTTCATTACCGATGAAATTTGAGTCCGTTTGTTATGTAATTAGATGTTTTGCGGTTTTTCCGCACACCACCGAATGGAACAGTACGCCATTGTTAGAGATATTATCTTTATTACAATAAATACAGAATCTTTTTGGAATATACGGAAAGTACACACAGGTCAGTTGTTGGCACTGTACTATTTCAGCTTTCTAATTTGTAATTTCAGTCCCAACCTACAAGTGGTTTCGCAAAATGGGTGCTGAAGAGTCCTAGAGTCCTTGGAGGCAATTGGGAACGTTGATGTTGTCTAGGAGGTGCTACCGCATTATCGATATAAACTACACTACATATATATTTTTCCCCTTGTCATTACTTATTATAAAAAATATGCATATACGTGTATTCAACCATTTGTTGTGGAGGTGGGCGTTGAATTTTTTTATCTTGCCTAAATGGGCGTTAGAAAGTTTGGGAACTTATGTCGTAGATCATACCTTAGTACCAAAGCGGTGTTCACAGTTGAGCAAAGCGAGCCACACGTTCTGTCTCTCTTGCTCCTCGCGGAATGATATCGTGTTCAGCGCTTTGCGGCCTATCGCGCGCGCTTTCTCGATCTCCGTTGCCTGTTTAAAAAAGAAAAAAAAAATTTTAATGGTTTTTTTTTAAGACTAAAGGCCTAAAATATAGGAATGTTTTAAAATAAATTAATAAAATTGAACAAAATACAAGAGATTTCCATATCACATTCTGGCTTTGTAAATAACAATAGGACGCACAGTGTGTTATAGAGACCATTTTTCGGACATGGCTTTTTTATTGCATAAACCTACAGATCAAGTGATTTAAAACATTAGAGTAGAACTCCCGAGTGACAAATTTGCTTAGTCAGGGTAAAAATAATTGTTGAAATTTGCATAATTTTTATCCGGATAAAGAAAAAAAAATCTACACTCAATTAAAAACAATACATAAAAGTGTCGTATATAATTCGAAATATCTTTATTAATATCACCTCTTACACTTTATATAAACCTCGTAACTTTCTTACGTTCGTAGTAATACGTATTTTTAAATTTTTCGTTTTTATTTTTTGTCTCAAAAATTCCGCCGTATTGGGAAAAGTTAATTACATCAACAGTGAAGTCTCATATTGCTTATTACCTCACAAAAAAACTGAACTTAAATCTCGTGGAGTCTAGAAGTTATAGAAAATTATTAATTTTTTTAAGGGGTTGTCACTTTTATATAAAACTTTCATATCCGGATATTATGAAACACAATAGACCTTTTTAAAAAAGAAATTAATAACTTTGTCCTTTAACATGAAATAATAAGTAATAATAATAAATATATGTTTATTACTCATCACAAAATACAAAACAATACAAATCTTAGTAAGCACATTACAGTAATATATTGGCCAGCCCTTGGATATTGAGACTAAACATTAGTAAGAAATAGAGAAATAGTAGGTGAAAAAACTTATTGAAATAAAATAAAAATTAGGACTAGACCACCTGAGTTAAGAACGGGACCAAAGACAAAGATTCTAAAGAGCGTGCAAAATGTAAACCTGATTTGGTGGGTGGGTAAAAGAGGATAAAATTAAATAAACAAAAACATACAAAAGTTGAACCTCATTCTAGGTAATTACTTACTTACTCTTAAATTTTCATTTTAATGTTTTATCTCGAATATTCCCCCGTATTTGGAACATCATCAATAATCAATAGTGAAAATTCATATTTTTCACATTCTCACAAAAAAAACAGATTCAAATTTCATGGAATTTAGTTTTTTTCAGATGGTAGTTTGAGGTACTTTTACATTTGTATTAATATATTTCACAATATGCAACGAGATGAGTCTAAGTTTTTTGTAGAAAGATAAACATAATAGATAATTAATTCTAACTAACATAATATTTTAAGGTAAATTGTTACTAATCGTGTACTAATAAAACAATGAATGATGTGTGAAATAAACAATATTTTATTTTATTTCACACATTCTTCAAAATCAAACTTTTGTAAATTATCTGTACAGCTACCGACTTCTTGAAGTGACTCTGGGTTAGCTAGTTGAAATGGCTCTGGTAAAGGTTGCAATAGCTGTATTGCAGCTACAGGTAAAGACATATTCAGCCGTTTCTTTTGTCTTTGGTGTAGCCATGCGATATTAAGGGATCAGATGATTCCTGAAAGCTCTGTGAAACAAATGTGTCATCGTTTTTATGCGGTCCAATTTTCTCCAATGATGCTCACGATCACTCCTCCAATATTTATTTCTAGACTCCGAAGCCTGCTGAGAGAGCATACCAATAAGCAGTGTTGTTGACTTAATTATGTCAGCACCGTGCATCAATATTTTATGCAGTGTTACTGTCATGGGAAGCCAGGGTTAGTTCTCGACGTATTTATAAGCAACCTGCTTACAAAATTTGTCAAATTTTTTGGCGTCGATGGGTAAGCCACTTGACATGACAGTCAATGACATGCAAATCGTTTAATAACCATTCTTCAAAACCTAATATTTGGGAAAAAGTTTGGCGATTCTTATCATATACGGCAACTCCCGCAGTATTGCCATCATTTGTTGTACCGGAATTGGGACGAACAATGTCTACCAGCAAGCCAATTTTTTCCCTTACTTGCTTTTCAATAGCTTTTTTCTAACATCTACGAGTCGCTTATATTCTAAATTTTTAGGTATTCTTCACATTTTAACGACTTTTTTATAAGCACGATGTAAAATAAATTCAAGCACCCGGATCCATGCATGTAGTGGACTCACAATATGGTTCATGGCGTCTTTATTTATTGGGTTCTCTAATACCATGTTCAAATTATTAAACTGATTGGCAGTTAGATTTGAGTACTGGCGATGCATTTGAGAAGAAGTATGTAGAATTATATTCAATACTTTTGCCGTTAATGGCAGCTACATATAATTCGCATGACACTTTTATTTCATGGCCTTTAGATGTTTCCTCCAACAACGGAGTTAGATCACGAATTTCAGATTCTACTCTTAGGCCTGTTTGTAAAGCGCTTGTCCAGTACTTCCATCGAACATCGATATTGTAATGTCAGCCGGGTAGCAACTGTTTCTTCTACAAATCAATTAACATAAAACTGTGTAGTTTAGGTAAGGTGCCGTTAGATGGCGTTGAACCATTTTTTGTGTATTTTATATAACGCTATAACGTTGGTAATTGAAATTGTATTACCTTTATTATTAGAATATATGAAATTGCCACAAAGATTCAGCGGCATTACCCCGTAAGTTATTAGACAGTACGAATCTTGTAGAGGAAGTATAATTGCCTATTTTAGCTGCCAAGAGGTAATGTGAGCATTGCTGCGTTCCGGTTTTGTAAGGGTGTTGGTGAAATTACGGGCACGTGGGACTTATCAATTTGTGTCAGGGTGACGGGCGCAGTGGGTGCGCCTGATCTTTGCGATATAAAGCTCTTGAGTGGCACTGCAATTGTTATGATAGGCGTGTCGCTTGCCACCATGCGCACGAGTTGTTCATCCTGTGACGATGCGACTTCTTTCATCGTCATCCCACCTTTTTATCACCCTTTTATCTGCTCCGTAGTCAATTTTACTTTTGAAATTTTGAATCGTTCCTTAATTCCTTTTCTACGTCACTCTTACTTTCCTTCTTTCCGTTGCCACTCTACTAAATTTCCGAAGGGAGCACTCGCGTTCATATAAAATTGAGACCAGTTATACCATTGACAATCATGTAACTGCTTGTAAAGCATAATATTGGTAGAAAATACAGGCCCTCTTGGGGTAAGTTCCTTTTTACCATGTCTAGCGTGTTAACCTGTATGTAATTTAAGTAGCGAGTGTTTTTATATGATTGTACCATTGACTTACAAATAAATGGACGACGGGTCTAATACAAAAACCACGAAAAAATGTCCCAAGTCAACCCATTTAAACGTAGTGACATGTAAAGGAATATGAAAAAGCTAAAACGTTGAATTTAAATTGTAATGTCATCGCAGTATCGCGGTGTCAGTCGAACAAATGAAGACTAAAGCGGAGTTTGACGCTCTGTATACGATTTTAACGCCTTACAAGTTCGGACACTTTTTAGCGCGGACCCGACGTCCATATAATTGTAAGTCAATGGATTGTACCTGTGTTTATACCGTTATTTTGTTTTGTTACAGCCTTTACGCCTTACTTTACTTACCTTACCTTTCCCTTTACTTTTTACCTTCCTTCCTATTCCTATTTTGCAATAAATAATGTGGGTTTTTTATTTAATTACTCAAAATTCTCGGCCACAGCGCCGTCTCTTGATATTGTAAAAATAAATCATGTATTCTGTGGTAACAATTACCTGCAAGTGGAAGGCCATGTAAGCGATCCACAGCTGGCTGCAATCGGGGCTGGCCAGTAACGCCCGTTCAAACTGTTCGCTGGACCGCGGCTGCGCCTCGCTCTCGATTGCGCGTCGTTCCATTTCGCGCACGCGTTCTTCCTCCTCGCGAACTTTCGACAACTTCTCGGCGACGGTCAGTTTCTTGCGTTTCTTTTTAGGTTGTTCTTGTTCCTGTTTAAAATGCGTGAGAAAAAAAATATGATCAATAAATATGTCGAGTTCTTAGGTTTTCGCGATTGTTACACATAGGAAATGAAACTATTTTTCCGGATTTAAATCGCGTATATTTGTTTTTTCAAACAAACCCACGTTTAGGGCCCTTTACAGGTCCCATGGTCACGGTTGACTGAGATGGTACCGTATTCAACCAGTTATGTCTAATATTGATGCAAACCACCCTATTTTTCAAGCGCACCATTTGTTCGGCCCGTCACATAACATCATAAAAATTAAATAAATTTACCTCATCCTCGCTGCTACTGGATTCTTCTTCCTTTTCATTCTGCATCAAACTGTCGCCACTAGCAGACCAGAAGTCCTTAGCACTGGGCACTTCCAATGCGGGCTCTAACGTCTCAACTACTTTTATTTCTCTCTTTTTCATTTGACTACCTTCTTTCTTTGAGGTTTCTTTTTCTTTTAAAGTGTCAAGTTTCTTTTTATCTCTTTTACTTTTTTCTTGGCCTCGACCTTCATCGCCGAATTCTTTCAACTTGTCTTGGGCCATATTTAGAATGTCTATTAATTTCTGTATTCTTTCCTGTAAACCAAGTTTTTCTACATGCATCGCGGTGTGGAACTTTTTGTTCTTGGTATTTAAACCTTTCTCTTCTATGTCCAGGATTTTTTTGTCAATTTTTTCTATTCTTCTTGTTCTGAAAACGCAAAAGGTATTTTTTTATAGTAAAAATTTTACTGGAAGCAAAAGTAATCAGTTAATGACAATTTAGTAATTGGATTTTAAAATTATAGTCTAGACGATACCTCCATTGAACACTACGCCATCTTAATTTATGGACCTGTTTTATTTTTATTTTGTTTTTTGTTTCTTTTCTTTCACAAATTTCGTTTTTGTTTTTTGTTTTTTTTTTCAATTTTGTTGATTCATTATTTTTTCACAATGCTCGGGGGCCATAATATTAGTAAATAAATATGGCAGTGTACAAAAATAACAGAAAATGACCAAAAAATAAAATTGGCGTAGTGTTGAGTATCGAGATGGCACAACAACAAAAACGCATATGATTTTATACATTGACATAGGATACTAACACCAATGCAAAATTGCTATAAAGGGAAATTTAAGTATTTTTACCACTAATACTGTACTATAGGCAATGTCGATTGGAACTTTCAGGAATCAGGAAAAGTAAGGACGTTACCTAGGTACGCGTAATGAGAGAGATAAAGATGATAAGGTTTCCGTGGTTTCACACTACAAAATGTAGATAGAATTTTAATCACAATTACTTCTACGCAATGAAACTATTTTTCCGGGTTTAAATCACAATTACTATAAATGAAAAAAAAAGTTTTGGTATAATTTTGTGTCTATATGCCCATAATGTAAGTACAATTAGTCATGACAAAATTTCCATTTTAAAAAATCATATTTAAAAAATATATATATTTCCGCATATTTTTCCTTTAATTGGCGTCGACAACTAAACATGTCATGTCTTTTAACGTCAACACCTGTTAAAAATCGAAGTTACTAAACGAAAACGATGGAGCCACTAAAAAAATTTTTTTTCGCTATTGCTGTGACAATTTTAAATCTCGTTATATCTTTATGTGGCTTCTAGTTATAGTTTATTTTATAATTCCCGCTAAATGAAACTTTAAAAGATATTTCTAAACGTAGAACATAATATGAGCCTTTGAAATTATATTTCTCCAATTTGTAGGGAATTTTCCCGGAAAATTTTCCACTATTCAAAATTGTTCGGGAAAATTACCCCTTTTTTAAGTACAATACAAAAAATATGCATTGTATTTAGACCTGTTCACATTTGTAAAGTGTTTAAAAATATTTTTTGTAATGGCAACACCTTTGTTTACAATTTTGATCTCGAATTTCATCGTCAAATATAAACAGGAGAGATGAAGTTAGTATAAACAATTATGTCTGCTGAGGTTGGTTGGTTGGTGTATGTATATAACAAAGTTGTACATTGATTGATATTATGTTATTCGATTGAAGAAATTAAAACAATGACACATTTCACAATTACATTTTTATCCCGTTTTGTTTTTCAATGTTCACAAAGGTATATTCAAGAGTGATATCTTTATTTTTGATCCCTGTATCTTATTTTCTATTCTATGTTTTGTACTTGAATAACCTACCGGGCCTGAATAGCTTTCAACAATGAGACAATGCGTTTCTTGTACTGCTTTGCGGTATGGCAATCGGATAAATCTATTAGACCTAATTCATGTGGCGTTAAGACTTCTTCTTCGTGGATGTCTGTTTCTATGGCGTCGCTTTCTTCTGATACCTGCAAGGTAGGTTTATGTAATTATAGTGAAAATGTTGATGTTAGGAGTTCCCGGACGTTACGATGACGTCACAGAATACTGGATTCGCACGAAGCATTGCGTTTCCACATTTGTACGGCGAATGGCTAGAGAGTGGAATTCCTGCGGTCTTATTCCCCGAACGCTGTAACTTGGACCTTTTCAAGGCGAGAGTGAATAGGCATAATTTAGGTGTACATGCTACAGCGTCGACCTCATCATCACTTTCCATCAGGTGGGATGGAGATCAAATACGCACTTATTTTGAATAATAAGAAAAAACTTTATACTAAAGGCTATTGTAGCTTGTGCGTACTTGGATGACAAAAATCCGTGGTAGTGACCCGTTTTGTTCTTGCAGGTAGTCTCAATTTAAGATGTTTGAAATAAATATTGTAAACTATGTTAAATGTATTCAAATGTATATTTAAACGAGCAACCCTATACGAATGAGCAGCAGAGTTTAATTAAAATTGCTTCAAGTGTAATTTGCTTACCTATGAAATAAAGATGATTTAAATTTTAACGTATTTAAACGTGAGTTCACAAGGATCCCCTGATGGATTGGGCTATGGGATCCTGGTGGACGAAACGTTAATATTATTGTATATTTTGTAGTAAGTAGTGGTTAAGGGAGTTGATGACACAACCATTACATATTTACTGTGAAAAAAATCTATAATAATTGTCTACTGTTAGTCAACCCCAAATAAAAAAAA